AAACGCTGGTGTTTCCATTTCAAATGGTCCTCCCGTTTGAAGCCTCGGGCTCGGAATTGTGGCAGGATTTACCACTTTGCACTCTGGCTTGGGAGCAGGAAAGTAGCACGTGGTACCTGGAGCGGTGTTGGATTGGGCTGATTTGATCCAGAAGCCCTGGGACTGTCCCCTGGGCACCAGGAGTTTTTTTACAGCTCTTTCCACCACTTCCAGTAGGGAACTCCTTGTAATCCTAATGCCCTCCCTGCAGAATGAAATCTTGGGAGTCTCAGTTGGGAAAAAAACCCAGCTGGTACTTCCCATGAGTTCAGAGCTCATGTGCACATCCCACATCCCCTGTTTGCCTGGTGGATCTTGAATTTCCTTGGAGCTTGAAACCCAGTCCTGCTCAAGCTCACTCAGACATTCGCAGCCTCCACCTGCGTGTGCTCTGCACGGCCTCCAAAGGGGTTTGTTCTGTGCTCTCCTTTGCTCTGGAGCTCTGAATGTCGAGGATGCACAGCAGTGACTAACCCTGGGCCACCTTAACCTCCCACTCCACCTCTAACAAGTGACAGATGTTGTTTTAAACACATTAAGCTGACGAAGGGGAAAACTCACTGTTTGTTGATAATGGCCAAGAACCACTTCTTCAGCCTGTGACAAATGCAAATATCAAATGTATATGTTTTTATTAAAGCAGCAGAAGTGTCCAGAAACAAGAGAATGGAAATACTGTTATAAAAATGGTAGGAAAATATCCACCATAAAGAGGAGTCTTGTTTACAGGAGACAGCATCCAGGGAAAATAAGGCTTTGAATTGTACAATCGCAGACTGGTTGGGGTTGGAAGGGCCCTTAAAGCTCATCCAGTTCCATCCCCTCGCCATGGGCAGGGGCACTTTCACTGTCCCAGGTACTGAGTACTGAAAAGGCTGTGGAATATGGTTTGGGTGAGGAAATACCTTACCAAACTGGATCCTACCACTTCTCCATTGTAGCAACTCTGGAAAAATCTGGTCTTATCATTCTATCCATGATCACATTTAAGAGGGTCTTTTTTAAACATTGAAATTTCTTATTGTCCCATTGGAGTCACAGGTTCTTTACAGCCATCTCCCAGGGCACTGATCCGTGGGACTCGTGGAAGATGGAGCTTTTCCTCTGTACTTCTATCCAAAGGGAACCTCTCCAATAATCCTGTGACAGTATCTCTGTTCTTCTTCAGCTGCTTTGATCACTCATTACGTAGGGAAGGTACAAAAGAAGGCAAATTTGAGCCAGGAACCTCTGGCTGCTTTTCCCACCAGTGCAAACACCGAGGGGAGCTGTGAGGCAGCTGCTGGACCCTGGGTGAACAGTCTGAGGAGGGGCAGGGGCTCCCCTGCCTCGCCCTTCTGCTTGGGTGGAGGCTGGATTTTCTCTGGACTTTTGGAGAGCAGGAGCACTAACCCCCTTTGCTGGTGGGATGCTGGGGTTCTTCTGTAACATAAAATGTTGGAAATCTCCCTCCAGCAGCCGGAGCTGCCGGGGAAGCCTTTGGTGCCATCCTTGCTGGAGTGAGTTTTGCTATTATGTCCTCACCCAGGTGTCCATTGCCTTCTGCTTCCTGTGGTCCAGCAGGCAGAGCTGGGTGTTCCCTCTGGCCTGGGCTGAGGGGCTTCTCCTCCCTCCTGCCTCCTGTGCCAGGACTGTCCCCAACCCCTCCCTCCATCCGTTGCCTCTGACCCGCCTTTCCTTCTTCCCCGCAGGTCTGTGCAGACTTTTGCAGACAAATCAAAACAAGAAGCTCTTAAAAACGACCTGGTGGAGGCTTTGAAGAGAAAGCAGCAAAGTTAAAATCCTGTCCGTGCTAACCAGACATGCCATGCACTCGTTAGATTCCTTTGGTAGAGAACTCATCCCCTGCCCTTTTCTGTTCCGTCACGTCACGATCTGCATCCAATACTCTCCATGCAGCGCCATCTTCTCCCCATGAATAAAGCTGTACAAACTTTTCAGTCTCTGAGGCCTACTTTGCACCACATTTTACTATCAAGACCTTAGGCTATGTTTCTGTAGAAGGCCATGTATTATTTTTTCTCCCCCCCCCATCTCCCGCCCTCCCCCATTTATATGCATCACCACGGATCATTGTCTTTTCCTCCCTCACCCCCCTCCTGCCTTTTGTTACATTGGTGTAAAAAATGTAAAACAAAAATTTATTAAATACTGTGGTGTGTGAAAGAGGAAGAACTGGAAAAAAAAAAAAAAGAGAAAAATAATCTATTCCATGTATGTTTGGGGGCTGGGCACAAGGGCTGGCTGGTGGGAGGGAGGGAAGAAAGGGTGTTCCTTGGGATTGTACGATGCTGACTCACCCAGATGTGCAGGAGATGGTGATTTGGAGACCTGCTGAAAATTTCTTCTTTCTTTTCTGGTTCCAAGGCGCTTTTCTGTCAATTTTTATGGAATGCAAAAGGGGTTTTTGTTTTGATTTTTTGGTTTTTTTTGTAAAGCTTAAATTGAATCTACATCTGATACTTGAGCCTCCATACTAAAAAATGGAAAAAAAAAAAAAGAAAAAAAAGACTAAAACAATAAAAATAAAAAAAATCCCAGGAAGAAGCATGTGTGGTTGGTGTCCTTGTTTCTGTTGCTTTCCTTGCAGGGTTATTTGGTTGTTGTCTCATACCCAGATGAGCTAAAACACGTTTGGTTTGAAGAGGGTGTGATGTCCCACTGCTCTTCCAGGGCCTGCTGCCCTTCCAGGATGCTGGGATTGATGCTCCAGGCATCCAGCAATGTGGAACAGGTGCATTTAGAGAAGGGGGATTGGTCCAGCTTTACTGGCTGTGTTAAACAGTCCTGGGGGTCTGTGTGCCCAGCACAGGGGTGGCAGAGGAGCAGCATTGGACACATTGGGGTAGATGGTTCCACCCATCAGTGCTGACCCAAAAGGTCCTGTGCTCGGTCCTTGTGTCATCTGTGAACCTCACCCTGAGTCTCCTCTTGAACCTCCTGGTGGGCAGAGGGACCTTGCCCAGCTCTGGTTTCACTGCTCCAAACCTAAGCCTGGGCAAACTGGGAAAGGAAATAAATACCTTGGGCTCTTCCTGTCCATGGCCTTTGAAATGACCCTTTGGGTGAACCCCTGCAAATGGGCACTGTTGGCATTGACACTGATTACTGTGCTCTAATTTTGGTGACCTGTTTCACCCCCAGCCCCTGGGGCTTGTGGTCCATACTGGAGCTCCTGTGGGGCACAGGCTGGGACAGGTGTCTGCCTCACAGCTGGGATCCCCCAGGGAAACACACTGAGATTTGGTCTCTTTCTCTTGGTTCTGTCCAAGGAAAAACCTTTGTTGAAGCTGGAGATGTTTGTGTGAAGTCTTGAGCCCAGGAGAGGAAGATGTGTGCTGGGTTTTCATTTACCTTCACACTCTGGGATATTTGTTTCTGCTCTGCCTTTTCTGGTTTAACACGTGCCTCTGCAAAATCCTAAGCTGCAGGAGCAGGGCTGCAGTAGTGACCTGGAGGGATGGAAACCTCAGGGAGCGTCTCAGTGGCAGGAATTTGTACCCCCCCACCTCCGAGATGGCAGCAGGTGTGGAACCTCCCTCTGCCAAACAGCTGCTCACCCTGCTCCAACCTCTGCAGCCCGAGTAAATCCACTTATGTTTTGGATCCACCTGTGGGTACGAACTATGTATGATTTTTCCTCCCTATGATGGAGGTTCTTTGTCCAGCTAAGAAAAGCCCTTGGTTAGCCAGGATGTGGCAGTTATTAATGGCAGAGATGAAGGATTTGCTCTTGATAGGAATTGTCTGTCTACAACTCCTGGGAAACGATAAGAAATCCTGATGGCTTGAGGATGAGCTGAGCAGCCCCTTCACCTGAGAACCTGGAGGGGCAGAATCATGAACTGATGCAGTGAAAATCCCTCCTTTGTTTCAAAGGGCTCAAAGAGACTGAAAAATACTTTTCTTCCTGCAAATGAATGGGTCAGCCCCAAATACCGGCCCAGTTTGTGTTTTAATTGACCTGCTGGTGCAGCTTGATGGGCACTGAGCAGTTTGACTCCTGTTTCCAGGCTGAGCTGTGGCTTGGAGTCCTCAGTGTGAGGACAAAGCAGAGAGGAGGGAAACTTCCTGGGGAAGGACAAATGTCATGGACTGGCAGAGGAATCAAATTAATAGAGTACAACATTGGGTGTCAGAGGGGAAAAGGGAAGCAAAAAGAAGAGTTGATAGTGATTTCAGGAAAAGGAAAGCTCTTGTTCTCTCAAGGACAAGCTGTGTTAGTTTTTCCTTAAGAGCTTTCAAGCTTTATTTGGTTTTCCTCTTGCTTTCCTGGTGAGACTGAGCTGCTCACCCCCAGCTCAGCACAGGGGAGGGAGCCTGGAGTGCTGAGCTGATCCATCGGGTGGCTCCACCTCGGCACTCGTCTCTTCCCAAACCACCCCTGCTTCCAGTCCCTCTGGGGTCAGGGAGCCACTGCACTGGTGTGCAGGGCCCCAAGAGGGGGATAAATTCATCATTGTTGGGAATAAACTCATCAAGCTGGGGATAAACTCATCAGTGAGAGCGGGCAGGACTGAAAAACAGAGGAAGCAGAGGCAGCTCTGCTGGGTAACAGAGAGAGCAACTTCCCCAAGGAATCCATGTGATTAAAACATGGGTGAGGCAAAAAGACGAGAAGTCAGAGAAGTGGGACTGTGAAAGTCATGAAGAGAGGCAGGAGCTGCCAGGTAAACTGGCAAAATGAAACCAAAGGAGGCACGTGGGGAAGGACGTGCTAATTAAAACGGGTGTGCAAGGAATGAACACTTTGGTTGTGCTGCTCCTTCCCCACTGTGTGTCTTCCAGAAGGAGCTTGGAGTGCAGCTGTGAGGCCCACAGTGCTGCTGTGTCTGTGGCAGGTCAGTCATCCCTGTCCCCTCCCATGTCTGTCAGCACCAAGGAAGCTCCAGATCTCCTCTGAGACACAGCAGCAACCAGGCTGAGCTGGGGGGCATCAGCGCAGCAAAGAGTAACTGAGGTATCAAAGAATTCCCTTTTATCCCAACAGCATCATGGATATCAAAGGCACAAGTTCAAACAGCAGCATCCTCTGCCACTGTTGTAGCAGCACAACGTGTCACCCACTGGTTCAGGTTCTCTTCTCCCAAGAGCCACCAGTATGGAGGGGCTGGTTTGCCCGGTGTTCAGGCACTTTCTTCATCTGCATCCTCATCCTCTCGCTCCAGGCAGGGCCCCTGGTCAGCTCTCCAGGCTGTCACTCTGCTCCCCAAGAAGAGCATCCCTCTCCTCGTGGGCACTGGCTCTTCCTTTCCGATAGGCGAGGAACTGGAAGGAGATCTGAGGAGAGGTTAAGGTTCTTCACACACACAGGGGTGGATCTGTGCCATAAACTGGGTCTCACCACCTGCACAACGGCTGTTTGTGCCAGCAGAGGTGGAAACAGGACAATGCAAACAAAGGGCTGCAGCATTTCAGCTGTTACAACACCACAAATTACTCAGCTGCACTGGGGTGAGCAACCCCTGAGTAGCATCAACCCACCCTTCTCCTGCCTAACCCTGCCTGTTCCAGGGCAGGATCACTCCCTGCAAAGCCTTGCCAGTGGGATGCAAACCCAGAGGGAAGTTTCGGCAGGGAAAGGATACAACCACGTCAAGAGAAAGGACCCCCAGGCTGCCCACCAGCCAGGGCAGGTGGTGCAGGACATAGTCACCTTCTCCCTGGCCTGGCTCAGGGTTCTTCAGGAGGACACTGAGGCCGTAGAGAGAGTTCCCCAACATCACCAGGGCAAAGAGGGAGTAGGAGATCCCAGTGGTGGATTTCCTCTTGTACTGGGAATAGCAGGCACAAGAAGAGCAGCTTGGGTGCAGCTCTCCTAAATAAAGTGGTATTAATCATCCTCTCCCCGAAAAAAGAGAAGAGAAAAGGTGGTGACTCAATGCCAAGAGCCCTTTACTTCCCCTTTTACTTGTAAATAAGACAAAGACACACCCTCAAAGTATTGGTGGGTTAAAGGGGAGAAAAATAAATTGGGTTTTGGACCAGAAATACAGAAAAACATGAAATCATGAGAGACAGGGCCCTGGGAACTCTGAGCAAAAGGAAGGAAGAAGATCCCAGCAACCCCCTCGGAGGTGACATGTGAGGGCCCAGGGGGTGCCCAGGGCAGGCACTCACGTTGGTGTAGATCTGGGGCACTCGGGAGCACAGGTACAGCACGGAGGACACGGAGCCCACGGTGAATCCAATGATCTCACTCCTGGTGAAAGGCTGCAAGGAAAGGGGGAGGCAGGAGCAGCTCAGCAGTCACCCCATGGCCCTCAAATCCAGCCTCTGATCTCCCCAGCTCTCCCTCACTTGATAAGTCCTGTGATAATTACAACTGATTAGAGGAAAATATGTAGTCTGTTATTATTTCAAGCCCTTATAATGGGAATTGGGTTTATTTTCATTGCTTGGAGAGGTCCTTCACTACTGCCAGTGCAAAACTCTTCTGCAAACCTCCTTTTACTGTAGCAAATTGAGTTACCTTGCTGCACTTGCTTGCTTGCTTTCTTCAATTATATGTACATTCAAGAATAAAAGGGGAAAAGTCTCTCAAATTTCCTGAAAACAGGCTGTGGTTTAATGTGAATGAACATGGTTTAAATACCACATTTTTTAGAGAATGTCCATCCTATGCAGCTCCCTGAAATAATTTCTATTCACAAACATGGAAGTAGCAAATGTTACATTTGCTGAATCTTGAGCAGGCCCTGAAATGTCTGAAATCCTGCAGCAGACTGTCCCTGAATTTTGGAGCAATCTTTTAAGGTCTTTTTCCAGTGTCACCTTCTGAGACTGTAACACCCTAGAGAACAATTTGCTCTTAAAAGAGGAACAGAGAAGCCCCCAACCCCAAAATACACGGTGAGGTACAAGGTGTTTTTTGGCACTACTGGATGGGATCAAACCATCCAGCAGGACGTGCCCAGCCAGATGTTCTGTATCCCATCACCCAGATTTAGGAATTGGCTCACCTTTGATCCAGGATCATCCACATGAACTGACAGCAGAGACCTCCCTGGAAAGGTCCCTGTGCCCTCTGCGGAGGTGCCACTGCCCAGGAGGGAGAGGGTTGACACTGTTCCCATGGAGAGGAACACAAAGGCTGCATTGATTGGGGCAGTGACTGCAGGGAATCAAGGAGAGCCTGGTTAGGGAGAATCCCATCAACCCCCAACAGCCTCAGGGTAAAGCACCTCCAAGCTGTCTCTGAGCACTGAGGGACAGGGACAGGCTGCTGTGGGTGATTTATCTCCTACTGATGTGGCCAATTTCTACATTATCAGGCAGGAAACTGCTCCTATCTCGGTTTCTTTGGGTTTAGGCTCTTTAAAATCATCCCCTCTAGGAGATTTCACTGTCTTAACTCACAATAGGCACACTCAAATCCCTGCCGGAGCAAGCCCTGCTTCGGCTTATTTATTACTATTAATGTATTATTATTCAGTAATTATATTCAGTAAACAGGCTCCCCAGCTTAACAACACGATGTAGTTGATAGGCCAATATCAATTGGTTTAATAAGTTTACATGTCTTTAATAAGTTAAAGTTATCCTGGTCCCAAAGTGCCTGTTTGGAGTTCACAAAGCTGCTATGCTGAAAAATGGATTTGTTCTGTTTTCTCTGACTCTTTGAACCTTTCAAGAGCTGATAAGGTTCCCTTTTCACTCCAGTTGAACAGGGAGGAACTTCCCCATCATGTCAAGGATGGAGTTCTGACCCCAAACCAATCAGAAAACTTCCCCTTTTCCCTTGCAGCCCTGGCCTGAGTCAGGAGTTCTGTGGTTTCCAGCTCCGAGGTGGAGTCACCACCTACCTGTGGGTAAAGAACTTATTTCTGTGCCCAGTGCAACTCACAGGGGAGTTATTTTCAGCCTGGACACCATGGGGAGGTTTGCAGGGTCTGCAGAAGCCCCAGGCACAGCCTGTAGCTATTTGTTGGCTTTGGTTTTCCTGGGGGCTCAAATTATCCAAGTTAAAAAAGCCCAGCAAGCATCTAACAGCTGCATCTGCAAAGCATCTCTGCCCCTGGAATACCCCTGGGGATTCCCTCCCTTCCCAGCTCCACAGACAAGGTCAAGCCCCCCACACACACACCCCAACTCACATCTGGCCCCCCTGTTCTTCACCCTGTAGTAGCAGTAGAGCGAAAGCATCACCAGGTCGGCCAGCACGTAGTAAACAGCCGTGTAAACCTGCGGGGAGGGGACACTGGGGTGGGACAACAGCCTGGGGAGAGAGGGGAGCATCCCTCAGGGAAAAGAGGGAACAACCCTGAGGAGGAAAAGGAAACAATCCAAGGGGGTGAAGAAGGGAACATCCCAGGGAGAGAAGGGAGTAACCCCATGGGGGAGAAGAAGGAAACAACCCCAGGCAGGAAGAAGGGAGCAATCCTGGAGGAAAGAGAGAACATCCTGATGGGAGAAGGAAGCATCCTGGATTGTTTGGGTCTCTGTTCCCAGGGCTGAATTAAGCAGCCCATTCCTCCTCCCTGGAGCTCAGGGTGTGTGAGAGCCGGCCCAGCCCCAGGGGTTTGGTACCTGCAGGGGCAGCTGATCAGCCAGGAAGGAGCCGATGAGGTTCAGGAGGTCTCCTCCCAGCCATCCCAGCAGGAAGTATATGGAGAGAGCCCGGTCCATGATGCCTGTTTTGCAGGCTTGGTAAAACTGCCTGCAGAGAATTGGGCAGAGATACAAACATTGCCCCTGACTGGTTCAGCACTACCTGGGAACCATCCCCAGGGCTCCCTGTGGATCCCAAAGCCCTGGGGGAGGAAGGGGAAGCAGGGATTGCTCCTGCCCAGTCATGTGCTCCCCTGCAAACTGGGCAGGAGGGAGTGAGGAAAAGCCTGAGTCGGGATCCTCCCCCCTCTAGTTACGAAATAATGGAGCTGGAGCGTGACTCCCCACATCCCCCTCTGCCACGCTTGTCTCAGCACTTCCAAGAAGCCTGGAAACACTCCAGGCACACATATGACTGCCCTGAGCACATTGCAGGTGGCTTACGTGGGATATTCCGGCTGCCAAGCTCAGCAACAACAACGTAACAACTCCCCAGGCTTTGGGGCTGTGCTGCCTGCTCCTCTCCTCCTCTAACCCTAAACTGTCCAAGCCCTGATTGCTTCTGATGGGCAGATTTAATAATTCGGGCACCTGGTGCTGGAAGGTTGAGCTTTGCTGTCCCACGGGGAGGGCTGGGCTGGGATTTGGGATAGTACTCACGGGAAGGAGGCGGCTGCGAAGCAGAGGATGGAGACCAGCCCCAGGATAACGCTGGAGACGTCCCGGCCATCCTGGGCACACTCGTGGAACACCTCGAGGATCCAGCGGGAGCCGTTGGGACATTCCGAGAGATTCCCAAAGGGGACCCCCCTCCAGCGCCGCACAGCCATGGCCCAGGAATGCCAGTCCAGCAGGGAGCTGGGGGGAAATTTAATAATGCTGGGGAAAAATAGAGCTGCATGATGAAGAGGATTGGGGCTCCTCTGGATGCAGCTGGAAACTGGCTCGTGTTGGGAAAACGTATCATCAGTGGATAATACGCCTTTATTTGCCTTAATTTTGCATCGGGGATGAGAGGAGTGGGAAGGTTTTCGGCCTGGCAGGGTTTGGCATCAAAGGAGAAACAGAAGAAATAAAAGAAGAAATAAAATGAAAAAAAAAAAAAAAAAAAAAAAAAAAAAAAAAAAAAAAAAAAAAAAAAAAAAAAAAAAAAAAAAAAAAAAAAAAAAAAGAAAAATAAAAGTAAAAAAAAAAAGAAGAAAAAAGGAGGAAATAGAAAGAAATAAAGAAGAAAAAAGAAAAAGGGGAGAAAAAATTAAAAGAAAGAAGAAAAAAATAAGCAAAAAGAGAAAAATAAGAATAAAGAAACAAAAGAAAAAAAGATGAAGGAAAAAAAGGGGGGGGGGAGGAGAAAGAAGAACCGGGGGAAAAAAGAAGTCAAAAAAAGCAATACAAGAGAGGCAGCCGAAGTCCAGCCCGACATGTCCCCGCAGCACTGACACTCACCTCCCACCGACGCCGTTCGCCACTTGACTTTATTTTCCCTCGGAAACGCCTCTCTTTGGAGCCGGGAGGGCTGTCTGTGCCCCCGTTCCCCTCAGGGACCGCCGGCTCCCTCGGCCGCTCCCGCCCGGCGCCGCCGGCCCTGCCGGGAACTCGCCGGAATCTTTGTCCCCGAGATCCGCAGCTTTCCCGTGAAACCCGCGCCGTGTTTTTTCCACAGACGTGCTGCTTTCCCCCAGCCCCGCTGTCCCCAGCCTGGTTTCGGACAATCCCGGTGTTTTTTGCCCAAACTCGCTGTTTTTTTTGGCCAAACCGGCGGGTCCGGCCGCCCTGGGGGCGGGGCCGCGCCTGTGCCCGCGCACGCGCAATGGCGGTGCGGGCGGTGAGGGGGATGGCGGCCATGGCGGCCATGGCGGCGGGGGGCGTGCGGCCCGGGGTGATCCTGGGCACGATGGAGATGGGCCGGCGGGCAGGGCCCGAGGCGAGCGCCGAGCTGCTCCGCGCCTTCCTGAGCCGCCGCTACCGCCTTCTCGACACCGCCTTCATGTACGCGGGTGGGGAGTCCGAGCGCATCCTGGGCGCGCTGCTGGCGGGAGGCACCGAGCCTGGTACGGCGCGGGGCATGGGGGCTGCCCTGAGGGGAACGAGCTCCCTCGGGGCTCGGTACCTGAGGGCAGCGGTCTTTCCTGAGGAGAGGGGTCTTCCCTGAGGAGAACAGTCCTCCCTGTTAAGCTGACACCTTCTTTGAGGAGAAGGGACTTTGGACTCGTGCTTGAGGAGGGGGGTCTTCCATGTCGGGCTGAGACTGTCTTCGAGGAGGAAGGACTGCCTTGCGCCTTTTCCCTAAGGAGGAGCGTCTTCCATGAGGCGAATGACCCCCTAAGCAAAAGGAACTTGCCTCGGGACTTATTCCCTGAGGAGGATTCCCCCTGCCAGGCTGATGCCAGGTCTGAGGGGAAGAGATTCCCCTCTTAGTGCTGACCCCCAGACCTTGAGAAGCCCTTCCCTCTCCAGGGCAGTCCCTCAGTGCTCTGGGGAAGAGTCTCCCCTGCCAGGCCGACGTGGTTCCCGAGGAGAGGGACCTTCCCTGAAACACCTCAAAATCTTGGTTATGCCCATTATCCCTGTTTTCCTCCTGAAGGTAGAAATTCTTTGCTCATTCCTTCTTTCTCTGCCAGTGGAAGTGGCCACCAAGGCCAACCCTTGGGATGGGAAGACGCTGAAGCCGGAGAGTGTGCGTTCCCAGCTGGACACGTCCCTGGAGAGGCTGAAGAGGACAAGTGTGGAGCTCTTCTACCTCCACGCTCCCGACCACGGGACTCCCGTGGAGGAGACGCTGCGTGCCTGCAACGATCTGCACAGAGAAGTAAAGTGGGGAGTCTAAGCCTGAACAATCCTTGATTCCCTCCTTCCCACCCCTTTTTTTTAAACCAGGGCTGCTTGTTGTGCCCACTGCAGCTCTGGGTTTGTGCCCAGAGCAGAGCAGCTACTGCTCCACTGGGTGCTAACGTGGTGCACTTTGTTCCCTAAAGCTCTTGGAAGCCTCAGAACATCTGAACTTTGCTTTTGGCTGGGTTAGAATTACTGCTGGTAATGGGTGAAGAATTTCTGAATTGCATTAATCTAACTATGGCATTTAAATTAGAGGGTGTGAATTCCAAAGGAACAGAAAATGAGAAATATTTTTGTCAGGTCTTTATAGTCTCTTGGAAAAGGTGGACAGCAATGAGCACTCTGGACTAAAATTTGGTGACTCCTTTTCACTGTATGCATCTTGCACTGTCTGGGTCCAAATGAACTTTTAAACACTGGAACTGAATTCTCTTTTATTCCTCTGCAGGGAAAGTTTAAAGAACTTGGTCTGTCAAACTATGCAGCGTGGGAGGTGGCAGAAATCTGCACCATCTGCAAGTACAACAACTGGGTGATGCCAACTGTGTACCAGGTGAGAGATGGTATTGCTGTGGGGAAATACCTTGGATTTGGGGGTTCCCAAATCTTGGACCAACCCCTAGTGTGCCAGATATAAACAGAGAAGGAATCTGCTGCACTTAGTCTGGGAATTCCACTGAGGTTGGACAGGACCCTCAAGGTCATTGAGTTCACCCTGTGCCGGATCCCCAGCTTGTCCCCTAGCCCAGAGCACTGAGTGCCATGTCCAGTCCTTCCTTGGATGCCACCACCTCCCTGAGCAGCCCCTTCCAGTGCCTGACCAGCCTTTCCATGTCCTTTCAGGACACACATGATCAGGAAGCTGAGTGAGGTCACTGCTCAGGAACTCTTGAGTGTGTGTTCCTTGCTGGAGTCAGTGACTCCACCTCTGGGAAACTTCAATTTTTGCATTATTTGCAATCCTTCAGCGAGTCTGTTCCTAAACAAATCATCTTGTGTAACCTGAAGCCTCTCTCCTGGATAAGTCCTGTCAGGGAGGTGTGGGAGGAGGCTGCTGCTGTGCCCTGAGCTGGTGTTTGAAGCTGTGTCCCCCTCGGTGCAGGGAATGTACAATGCGACCACGCGCCAGGTGGAGGCCGAGCTCTTCCCCTGCCTGAGGCACTTTGGGCTGCGGTTCTACGCCTACAACCCCCTGGCAGGTACAGAGGGGGACAAAACCCTGGGAAATGGGGGCTGTGCAGAGCAGCCCAGCCCTGAACCTGCTGTTGCCCTTTGCAGGAGGGCTCCTGACCGGCAAGTACAAGTACGAGGACAAAGACACGCGCCAGCCTCCTGGGAGATTTTTTGGGAACGACTGGGCTCAGGCCTACAGGGACAGGTATTTTTTGAGCTGACAGACAAGGAAGGCTGCATTAAAAAAACACTAATCATCAGTTGAGAGGAAGCAGAATTAACCAAAGTTTGTGCAGGGATTGCATCAGCACACGTGGCTGGGGCCATGGCATGTGGCTGACCTTTGCAGTGTGGTTTTTATGTTCAGCTGCCCCACAACTTGCAGGGGTGATCGCAGAAGTCCTCAGAGGCTCTAAAGAGTTGTACAAAGCTTTCTTGTGGTTGGAATGTAGATGTCTGCAGGGCAATAAGGGTGATTTCTTTTCATGCAGGTACTGGAAAAAACACAATTTTGAGGGAATTGCCCTGGTAGAAAAGGCTCTGAAGGAGGCTTATGGCTCCAATCCCCCCAGCCTGGCCTCAGCTGCACTGCGCTGGCTCTACCACCACTCCAAACTGCAGGTGAGAGCTCAGCCTGACTAGAACCGACAGCCTGGGCGGTGCTGCCAGGGCTGTGCACACAATCAGGGACATTTCAGTGTGATTTACCCCTTTGATCTGCACATCCCGCGGGGTTGTGGCATTCCAAAGTGAGTATTGCTGTGTGGACTCTGCCAGACTGCTCAAGCGAGTCAGCTCTGTGTCCCCTGTGGTATTCTCTGTGCTTAGGATTGGAAGAAGTGGAAGATATTAAGTGCTAATTAGTGGGGTCTTGGCTTCCTACCCACTCAGCCTCCCTGCAAGGAAAGCACTTGCTCTTTCTTGGACTAGAAAACTAATGGTTATATTCCCCATTTCCCCCAGTGTTCCTGTAGCCCATCATTAAGTAGGACTTGGCAGTTTTTGAGGAGTTGGCACGACTTGGAGACGTCCTGGCCTTCTGACCAGAACTTGGTGGTGTCAGTTGTCTCAATCCTTGAGAGGTGAACCAGGTTTCTTTTGGGATTAGCAGCACCTCCTATCTCTTCCCAGGGTTCTCTTGGAGACGCAGTGATCATTGGGATGTCCAACATGGACCAGCTAGAGCAGAACCTCAACTCCAGCGAGGAGGGTCCCCTGCTCCCCGCCGTGGTGGAGGCGTTTGATGCAGCCTGGAACATGAGTGCCCACGACTGCCCCAACTACTTCCGTTAGGGGTTGGAGCAGGGATGGAACGCTGGCCACTAGAGCACAGGGCTCTGGAAGCACTGGCAAGGTACTGCCCACCCTGCCCTTTGATCCACAAGCCAATGGGTTGAGATTTCTCCTGAATTAATGAAGCTTTGCAGGATCCACAACTGCTGTTGTGCTGGGCTGTGCCTTAGTCCTTCTTCCCTCCCAGCCCTCCAGGTCCCCACAGCACCATAATTAAAGCTGCAGTTAATCAGGAAAGTGAACACAGCAATGGGGTGAAAGCCCCCATTCTGCTTTAATGTGAAATCTTAAATAATTATGTACAAGAATAAAACTTCTTTCTAACGCAGCTGCCATCTCTGACCGGTACCTGTAACCTGGCTGGCAGCACGTGCGGACTTGGAATCATAGAATCCCAGACTGGTTTGGGATGGGACCTTAAAGCTCATCTCATTACAGCCCCTGTCATGAGCAGGGGCACCTCCCACTAGCCCAGGTTGCTCAGAGCTCCATCCAGCCTGGTCCTGTACTCTTCCAGGAATAGGGCAAAATTCCAGGGATCAGAGAAATTATCTTCTTCTGTGTAAGAATAACAAACCCTCAGCATTTTCCCCACTCTGTTACATCGAAGTTGCATTAAATTTACACCCCTTCTTCCCAGTTTTCACATTTGATTGGAATTTCCTCAGATCCTGGGATACACAAGCAGTAACAGGCAGCAACAACAACTGTCTGAAGTTTTGTATACAGATTTATATATATATAAAAAAAACACATCATTTTTTACAAAGAGCACATTTGAGCTGATCATCCTTGTCCAGCTGCAAACAGGCCAGAGAAACATCCTCCTCTTTTTGTCTCTAAAATAGAGTAAAATTGCCTCGTGTCCACACTGCTAGTCCTCACTGCTGTCATCATCATTATCCTCTTCTTCCTCTGCTGTGTCTCCCACAAGCTTCTGGAAATCTCCTGTCTCAGAATTCCACACGAATTTGATGGTGACTTTAAACTCTGCCATCTCATAACCGAAGAGTTTCTAGGGAAGGACACAAATGTTTCCTGCGTTACTGTCTCTGTCCAGTTTAGCAAAACAGTCCAGACCACTTCCACGTGGGAAGTGCTGCAGAGCAGGAGCCAAAATAATTGCTGCTGAGTTTCAGGGGTTGCATTAATTAATTGTTTTGTATCAGGAAACAGGGCTGTTGTGTTACTCACCAGGACACGGGCCTGTTCCGGGGTGAGAACATCCCCCTCCTTGCAGACGTCATAATCCGAGAGCAGTGTCACCACCCCTGCAGGAACAAACCCCCTTCAACAGGCTCCCAGGTACTGGGTGACTCCCTGAAATGTGGGGTGCAGAGCCAAGACTCCCTCCCACACCACCCTTTGGAGCTTTCCACGCAATGTTAGTGCACCTCAAGGAGCTCAGTAAACCCCACATCTGGTTTCTGAACGGGTCAGTCCCAGCTGTTCCCACTGGAAAGGGACAGTGCTTTGGAAAAACCCTGTTGTTTGACTCATCCTTTGACATGAGTTTGGGAAGAACAGCACAAGAAGGACATAAGGAGTTCTAGCCTCGTCCCAATAAGGAGAATACCCATGGGATTTTTCCAGATCTAAATTCTCCTATTCAATGTTCTCCTGAGATCTCCCCTGCTCAGACAGACAGGGGCTGTCCTCCCCAGCTACCCCAGTACCTTTCTTCAGCGCCGTGGGCAATCCCAGCTGCCGGAGCTGCGGCTCCATGGAGTGTGGGAACTGCTCCAGGGGCCCCGTGTCCAGGCTCACCCCGTACGGCGCCTTGTTCCCAGCGCGGGCAAAGTCCAGCTCTCGGAACTTGGAGAACCACCTGGGGCAGGGGACGAGAGCTGCAGCTGCTCTGCCTGCAGCCCAGCACAGGTTCCCGTGGTGCCCAGAGGAGCTGTGGCTGCCCCTTCCCTGGAGGAGTCCAAGGCCAGGTTGGGCAGGGCTTGGAGCAGCCTGGGACAGTGGAAGGTGTCCCTGCCCATGGATGGGGTTGGGACTGGATGAGATCTAAGGTCCCTTCCAACCCAAACCTTTCCGTGATTCCCTGTTGTCACAGGGATGGCTGAGAAAATGGGTGGAAAACCCCATGACACCTCCCCTGCTTTGAGGGAGCATCAGGGAGGGCAGTGGTTACAGTGGTTACACGGTAACAAGGCTGTGCCAGGCTCTACTTACTCATCCACCTCCTCCCTGGTGCGGTTGGTGAAGAGGAGCCCGACCTCCCCTCTCAGGTGTTTGCTGACCTGGAAGAGAAGGAGCATCCACAGGGATCAGGCCGCACCAGGGACCCACCTGCAGTCCTGTACAGAAAGCTCTGGTAACAACAGACCCTTTGTGTCAGGACATGGATTCGATTCAAACACCCCCAGAAGGGTGGCCCAAGGAGCTCTGGTGTCCCAGGATGTTATTCCATTGTGGGGGGTAAGGCAGGTGCAGTTTCAGGATCCCCAGGAAACCTCAGTGCCCACCTTGTGCAGGTTCTCCTTGTACTCGCTGCTCGGCCCCCGTCCCAGCGCCACCATCATCACCTTGTTCTTGCCGAAGAAGATCCTGGAGCGGGAGGAGGGGGATGTCAGCCCCGGAGCTCACCCCTCTTGGGAATTCCCCCTTTCCAGCCCCTCCGCCCCCCCAACCTGCTGTGCTTCCATGCGTTCCGGACATCCTTGAGCTTGTTGTTCCTCATGTTGGCCACGGAGAACACGAAGATGTACTTGTAGGTGTCCACACAGCGGCGGAGCTGCGGGGGAGGCGTTACCGGGACAGGGCGTGGGAAGGAGGGGACGGGGACAGGGCCAGGGCCAGGGCCAGGGCCAGGGCCAGGGCCCCACTCACCTCGGTGATCAGCGCCTGCTTGGCTTCCAGCCCCTTCCGGGGCGTCCGCGTCAGGGAGACTGCGGGGAGCAGAGGATGCGTTAGGGTGGGATGGCAGGGACACGAGCACAGAAAGGGGATGAGGGGAGGGAGAAGGGCTGAGGGCCAGGCAGGGCAGGGGGAAGCGCTGAGGGCCGGGTAGGGGGAAGGGAGAAGGGAAGGGAGAAGGGCTGAGGGCACGGGGAAGGGCTAAGGGCCGGGCAGGGACTGGAGAAGCGCTGAGGGAAGGGAGAAGCGCTGAGGGCCGGAAGGGAGAAGGGAGAAGCGCTGAGGGTCGGGCAGCACCGTGGGCATGGGGAAGCGCTGAGGGCCGGGCAGGGCAGGGTGAGGGGTAGGGAGAAGGGCTGAGGGCCGAGTAGGGAGACGGGAGAAGGGCCGGGCAGGGACAAGGGCTGAGGGCCGGGAGAAGCGCCGAGGGCCGGGCCGGGCAGGGAGAAGGGCCGGGAGAAGCGCTAAGGGCCCGGCCCCGCTCTCACCCTTTCGGTCCCGCCGGGACTTGGGCATGGCTCCGCCGTGCTCTGAGGCCCCCGGGCGGCGCGCGGGCTGCCGGGAGCGGACAGGGCTGTCCCGCGCGCTGCCTGCGCGGGGAAAGGGGGGCGGTGCCGTGGGAGCGCGCAGGCAGCGCGCGGGGCAGCCCCAGGGCGCTGCGAGGCTCCCCGGGCGCCGGGGCCGCTGCGATGGCGGCTGGGCCGGGGTCGCTCCTGCCGCTCCTGCTCCCGCCGCTCCTCCTGCCGCTCCTCCTGCCTTTGGCCGCCGCCGTCTACGAGGACCAAGTGGGCAAGTTCGACTGGTAAGCGCCGGCGGTCCCGCCGCGCCGCGTGTCCCCTCCCGCGGGCAGGCCCCGCGGCCCTCCCGTGGCGGGTCCCGCCTCAGCGCCGCTCCCTCCGCTCCCCAGGAGGCAGCAGTACGTGGGGAAGCTCAAGTTCGCCTCCTTGGAGGCCTCGCAGGGCTCGAAGAAGCTCGTCGTGGCCACTGAGGAGAACGTGGTGGCCGCCCTGAACTCCCGGAGCGGCGAAATCCGTGAGTGCGGCCGGTTCGGGGCTGACGGGCCGCTCAAACTGTGCGGGTTTCACTGCTGAGGGGTGATCGCTGCCGGCTGTGCCTTGTCAGGCTGGGAGGGGACAGCCGGCGGGGCAGAGCTGTGCCCTAGAGCAGCTGGACTGTGCTCTGTACGAGCTTAAAAATAATAGGAAGGGATGTGTTTGGGGGGCAAATCTTGTTCTAGCTGGGCTCTATCTCCCCAGTGTGGCGCCACGTGGACAAGGGCACCGCGGAAGGAACGATCGATGCGATGCTGATCCATGGGCAGGGTAAGGGGCACGGGCCGGGGCTGGGATTGCCCCGGGGCTGTGGGAGCACGGGCTGGAGCTGCTCAGTTCGGGGCTCTGTTGCTCCGTGTGGACAGAGCCCCGCGGTCCTCCCCCGCAGATGCCGTCACTGTGTCCAACGGAGGGCGGATCCTGCGCTCCTGGGAGACTAACATCGGGGGGCTGAACTGGGAGACATCCCTGGACACTGGCAGGTGGGATTTGCTGGCTGTACTGGCTTCTTTTCCTTGTAGTGCTGGGCTGGGAAGGAATGAAGGAGGTCATGGACCTTCTCTGGACTTGCATTGTAGAGGAAGATTAGTTAAAGTTGCCAGAATAAGTTTTGGGTGAATTCTTTATGAATGCCTGACCTTGCACAGGATCACTGAGGCTAGAAAATCCCTCCCAGCCCATGGATCCCTCCTGTGTCCCATCCCCACCCTGTCCCCAGCCCAGAGCACTGAGTGCCACAGCCAGGCCTGCCTTGGACACCTCCAGGGCTGGGCACTCCAAACCTCCCTGGGCAGCCCCTGCCAGGGCCTGACCACCCTTTCCATGAGAAATTCCTGCTGCTGTCCCCCCTGCCCCTCCCCTGGCACAGCCTGAGGCTGTTCCCTCTCCTCCTGTCCCTGTTCCCTGGGAGCAGAGCCCGACCCCCCCCGGCTCCCCCCTCCTGTCAGGGATTGCAGAGCCAGAAGGTCCCCCCTGAGCCTCC